ACACACACACACACACACACACACACACACGACAGAATATTACTCAGCCATCAAAAAGAATGAAATCTTGCCATTTGCAATGACATAGATAGAGCTAGAATGTACTATACTAAGCCAGATAAATCAGAGAAAAACAACTATCATATGATTTCATTTATATGTGGAATTTAAGAAACAAAACAGATGAACATATGGGAAGGAGGGAGAAGAGAAGAAAGGGAAATAAACCATAAGAGACTTTTAACAATAGAGAACAAACCAAGGGTTGATGGAGGGAGGTAGGTGGGAGATGGGTTAGATGGGTGATGGGGATTAAGGAGGGTACTTGTGATGAGCGCTGGGTGTTGTATGTAAATGATGAATCACTGAATTCTACTTCTGAAACCAATATTGCACTATTAACTAACTCAAATATAAATAATAATATATAAAATGAAATGAAATGAAATATTAAACTAGGGGTGCCTGGGTGGCTAGTCAGTTGAGCATCCGACTCATGATTCTGGCGTTAAGTCATGATCCCAAGGTTCTGGGATCAAGCCCCACATCGTGTGGGGAATCAATCTCTCTCTCTCTCTCTCTGCTCCTCTCCCCTGCTCACTCTTGCTCTCTCTTAACGAAAAAAAAAAAAAAAAAAAAAAAAAGACTAGCATCAATTTACATGTTAATAATAATGAAATAGCTAAAAATTTATACATATTCATGATATTAAACAGCCATTAAAGTTTATAAAAAATTTCTAATTACAGGAGGAAATTTTATCAGGTAATGAAAATTGATTAAAACCAGGTTACAAAACTGTTTACACAATATGATTTCAACTATATAACTAGAAAAATATTTACACAGGAAAAAAAGGACCAGAAGTAGCAACAGTAATTATCTGTAAATTGTGGAATAAGGATAATTTCCATTTTTGTATACTTTGTTCTCTTTCCAACTTTCTGAAATAAATTTGCATTATTAATATAGTCAGAAAAAAAACTTTCCTTACATTGAGTTCTCATGTTTACATTTTTATCATTTAATCGAAGTCATAGGACTTGTTGCAATTATTGAACCAAGGTATACTAATAGGGTACAGATTTTCAAAATTTTGTCAGCACTGCTTTTTCTAATATTTTAAATATTATTTATTATCTCAGGTTCTTCTCACACAGAAAATAAAGGTTTTAATCTATTTTGCATCTGCTACAGATGCTAAATATTAAGCTGTTTGTAAGTCTAAATGTGACAATGTAACAGAATACACGTACACAAATTACTTGAATTTTACAGTATATAAAACAATTACTCAACATACCTATGAAGGATATTCATAACTTTCCAATCACTGGTAACATCACTACTCGTCCGAATCTTTTGAGCAATGTTGGAAACAGCTGCAAGAATTGCTGCCCCATCATTTCTTTGGAGTGCAGAACTGCCTAAAACCACCATTGGTTTTTTAGCTTCATGTAATACCTATTTAAAAAAAAAAAGAATTTTGATTAAAAAATCTAAACAATCAACTAAATCTAATCAAATTTGCATCTACGATATGTTGTGTCAAGTTTTAGTTTCAATGCAGAATGCCTTTGATTTTTTACTAATCAACATATAGACATACATCCAATCAGATTTAACCAAAAACATGTTGCCAATGCTACGGTGAAATGGCTAAGTGAGAATCAGATAAAACAGACTTTCTAAAACTAAGTACTGAGAATGAAAGACTTTCCCAAATATCCTTTGGTCAGAATGATTACGGGTATGTCCAAGAAAAACTGGGCAACGTCCCTACAGACGTTTAGTTGGTACCGTCTAAGAGGGAAAACCACACTCAAGTACCATGCTACAGTCTATCTACCCACCATGCTCCAGACAAGGAGGAAGAGGTAGGGAAAGCAACAATCACTAGGATTACAACGCAGAATAGCTAAGACTTTAAGGGCTCTGCTTCCTGAATGTCAAAACATGAAGGGAAGTGCATGCCAAAAGCAAAGGAAACAACAGATTTGGTGGAGGATAGAAAAATTAAAAGCTGAAGACTATATAGCTCACTCTCCTGTCCACCCTCTATATCATTCCTCAATAAATAAGCGGCCCAAAGCAAAGAATCAGCATGAAAATTATGCCTACACACTAGGGGAAGACATTGATCACAAGAGGAATTTCCCAAGAAAATGTGAAGTGTGCAGAGAAATAGTTTTCAATAGCCTCAGAGAAAATGAAAAACACGCTTTTTCTCGCTTGAAAAGAAAGGCTTAGAAGAGTGACAAAACAGAGAGTATTATACAATAGAAGGACATTTTGTCACAGAACTCAGGAAAGAACTGAAAGAGAAACAAAGTAGCGATGAACTTCATTCCAGAAACAATAAAAAACAAAATAAAACAGGACTTCAAAAATAGGGACAAGAAAGACAGGCAATACAAAATCATATAAAGCAAACTGAAAAAGAATAAAAGAACAAAGGAAAAATGACAGAAAAAGACACAAAAGGGGATCCAGTATCTGCTTTGTTGGTTCATTCTTTTTTTGTTAGCAGCACATCTTAACTAATAGAAAACAGACTTAAATCTAGTATAGAAAAAAAACATACTTATCATCTTCTGGGGCATGGAGATAGGAACTAGAAAAGAGGGACACTTTTAAGTATTTTTTTTTATATTTTTGATCACTGCAGTTGTAATCATGTTTTTCCTATTCAAAACAAAGGAACTGGGCTTAGCTGCCTTGTCCCACTTGACTACGCCTAAAGCTACACCATCTTGGAACAATAAGGAGAAGCGCACACGCAAACACACAAGGAAGCAAAGGCACAGAGGATAGTAAAGCAGGAAGGAATGTCCTTCCATGATGACATCCTTGGACAACCACAACATCTGTCAAACTGCCTACTCTCCAGAGCCATTACATGAAAACCAGAAACTTCTTTCATTTTTTTAACAATCAGCACTCCACCATACACACACAAATACTAAAGTAAAAAGAACCTTGAATCTTCACAATGAAAGGTATACCATGTCCCATAAAAATGTGACAGAGAACCACCGTTAAGGTATTCTGGTAAAGTTATTAAATTTCAAAGATAAAGATCTAAGTATAAAGTATCAAAAAAAAAAGTTTCTATGGGCGGCTCAGTTGGTTAAGCGTCTGATGCTTGATTTTCGCTCAGGTCATGATCTCACAGTTCTTGAGATCAAGTCCCACATGGAGTTCTGCGCAAACCCCTGGTTGGGATTCTCTCTCCTCTCTCTGCTCCTCCCCTGCTCAAGCTCTCTAAATAAGTACCTAGACAGTTAAAAAAAAAAATTAGGACAGGGGTGGGGGGAAATATGACTGACATCACACTTCTCCACAGTAACAAAAGGCCTTGTTTATAAAGTTCACAAAGAGAAAAAAAAGAGTGTGGCTCAAGAACTCTGTATCCTGCCAACACTCTCTTCAGGAATAAAACACACTCCCAAGCAAGAACTCAAGGTATAGTGTACTTATTAGCCCCTCTTGGAATAGTAAATTAAGACCTATAAATATCAGACAGCAATGAGATAAATGTAAATAAAGTGCTCAGTAGGGAAGGACTGGTGAAATTTAGTAATAACTCTTGCAATAAAGAAAGATTTCCTAAAGTTTAATTGTTTCAGGTTCACTTCAATTTCTTTTCTGATAATTTCAAGTAAAATTAAACCATGGTACATAAAAACAGCATGTATAACACGATCTCATCTTTGTTTGCCTATCCATCCATCTTGCTCTATACATGAATAGAGATGACTATGATGGTTCATCAATGCTTGTTTGGGTTGGTGGAATTTGGGGTAATACTTTACTTTCTTCCATTTTCTTTTCTGTACTGGTGTAATTTTTAACAGTAATCACATATCACTATTATAAAACAGTAACTTTTTAAACTAAAAATGCTTAAAAATTAACAAAGGTAGGTACATATAACTTAAGAGCACCTGGCTGAATGGATGGTTACCCAAAGCAATCTCCTGAAGAATTTTGGGGGAATCTCCCAGATGGTCATATCTGTAAGTGAGATCCACTGAGCTGCCAATAAGGGCCACTTTTAAGTCATTATGAAGCCAGCTGAAATAAAAATGACAAACTTTTAGAGCTAAATTACTAATTCAAAATAGTCATCAGTCTCATCAATGCTAGGGTCTACATTTATGTTACAAATGTTAAAAACACAAAAACACTCACAGCACACTTAACCTTAACAGATACAACTTACTGTATACCTTTCAAAATAATAATGCTGTAAGAATACACACCAAGGTAAGTCAGTGAATTAATTTGCTGTTAGGAACCCTACGCAACCTATAAATAAAACTTTTAATTTTAGAATAAATGATTTATAATTTTTATTTTGCCTTATCACAGCAGAGCCAGTCATCTCCTAATTATCCATTAAGGCCACTTTAATATAGTTCATGAAAATAAACTACATCATTCATATTTATTCTTTTTGATAGGCAAGTATAGAACCAGTTCTTCTAAAAATAGTTACAAATGCAGTGACCACATATTGTTTGTCTGAGACAGTGCTGGTTTTCATCTGTTACCCTGGAGTAATTAATTCCCCCTGTCACTCTCAACAGTATCACATCATAGACAAATTATACCAACCTATTTATAAATCTCTAAAATATGAAAAGATGGAGGTATTCTACAAAATACCTGGCTTTGCGCTTCAAAAAAATGTAAAAAACAAAACAAAACAAAAAAAAAAAACCCTGGAGAGAGTCATGACACTAATTGCAATGTGTGACTTGAAACTGGATCCTGGGCAGGTAAAAAAAAAAAAAATCATTAGAAAAAATTATAAAAGAAATTATGGAAAAATTGGTGCATCTTGAATTATTTCAAAATGAGAAGATAAAGTAAAACGATCAGCAGGAGAAGAGGGAAGGAATGGACTGATTAGAAGCAGCCCTCCAATTATCTTCTGGAGTCTCATTCCGACTAACACCATTAGGAATCAGCTAAGTAGTCATTTTTCAGATGTAAAACAAATTATTATATAACCAGTTTTTAAACCCTGAATATTACTAACCTCTTTCGAATTCTAGCATTAAACAGTGGTGCCTCAAAACGCGGATTTGTACCAACCAGAAGGAGAACATCTGCCTCTTCCACACCAGCAATTGTAGTATTAAGAAGATAATTAGAACGCAAATCTGTGCTAGAAACACAAAATTAAAAATGCAGGTTTACTAATACACAATGACAATCCACGCAACATTCTCATGTCCACAAACCCAAGGTATTCCCAGACAATAAATCCTTAGGAAGTATTTCTAAATTACATCAAAGTTTCAGATACTTATTATTGATAACTGGATTCTCTAATAGTTCCTGGCTTGACTTTGGCCTATATATGTGAAAACAAATTGGTGGGTATGATGGAGAATCCAAGCGGTCACATATCAGCCATAGGTGTATTTTCTCTTTTTTAAATTTATCTTTTTAAGTAAACTCTACCACCAATGTGGGCTTGAACTCAGAACCCCAAGATTAAGAGTCACCTGTAGGGCACCTGGGTGGCTCAGTCAGTTGAGCATCTGACTTCGGCTCTGGTCACGGTCTCAGAATTCATGGGTTCGAGGCCCGTATCAGGCTCTAGACTGATGGCGCAGAGCCTGCTTGGGATTCTCTCTTCCTCTCTCTCTGATCCTCCCTGACTTGCACTTTCTCTTTAAGTAAATAAACTTAAAAAAAAAAAAAATCAGGAAAAAAAAAAAAAGAATCACTTGCTCTACCAACTGAGCCAGCCAGGCAGGCGCCCAGATGTACTGATTTATACACAGCTTGTCACAACAACAACAACAACAAAGCAAGCCTAGATGCTAGATTCATACTGCTCACCCAGCTCCTGCAGTGGGGAAGACCTCTTCAGTGCACAAGGTGTCAGAGTCCACTCTATTAAGCAAATCTTTGAGAGCTACCAGGGCTTCAGCATCCACCAAGCCACCTGCAATTGCTGCCACATCCTTGCCTTGAACACTCTGCAACTAGAAATGGATGAAAAGGGTATCACCAAAACACCTCCGTTCGGCAAAGACCACTGCTCAGAACACAAAGCAATAGTTATTTGTAAGTATAAAAAAAAAGCAATGAACTTTTGACTTAAAAGGTTTACACTAATTATTAATATAAAAGTGAGAAGCAAAGGTGTAGATGAGGCTAATAATACCACCAGCTTGGAGGGAAGCTGTTTTATATTAGAAACAAAGAGGTCTCATAATGAAGTTTGGAGAATGAAGAGTGAGGAATTACAGCTAAATACAATTTCTTCTGAAGTATCCACCGTTCCCTCAAGTCCTTTGTGTACGTTGCCTTTGTCTCTGGCTAGAAAGCCATTCTCTCCACTTTTGCTCTGGCAAGTTTGCATTCATTCTTAGATTTTGCCTAAGTCACCTCACGTAGGAAGGCATCCCTGATACGCTAGTCGTGGTTAGGCACCCCTCCCACAGGCTCTCTCAGACATGATTTCCTGCACAACTAACTGCAGCAGCACATGATACCTGACTCTGCATCTTTCCCAACTACAAAATTGTGGGAAGTAGGGACCATATATTAGTGGTCTCTATAGCCCTACTTCCAGCATGATATCTGGCATTTGGTTCTTTTATTTGTTTTGTTGCATTTTTTGTTTTTTGATTTTAGAGAAGAGAGAGCAAGTGAGCACAAGTAGGGGAGAAAGGGGCAGGGGGAAAGAGAGAGAGAACCTTAAGCAGGCTCTACGTTCAGAGAAGAGCCCGATGTGGGGCTCAATCCCACAACCCTGGGATCATGACCTGAGCCACAATCAAGAGTTGGATGCTCAATAAAGACTGAGCCACCCAGGCGCCCCTCTGGCATATGGTTCTTAATAAATGCTCATTAAATGGAAGGCAATCTTGGTAAAACAAAAGAAGTGAAGAGACATACATGACCCCTCTTTGTTACAAAGATGTCCCTTAAAAATTACAAATACTATTTATTCTATATTTCAATTTTTTACCATTCCAGCTACACGAGAGAGTGCATCTTCCCAGGAAGTGTAGGTTAAAAGCCCCTTTTCGTTTCTGATCATTGGCTCGGTTAGTCTTTGACGTTTTAGCCCATCATAGGCAAATCTAGGTAACAGAAAATACACCATTTACGGAATCTTGCTAGAGGCAACTATAGTTTTCAAGTTTAAAATATAAAAGAAATGTTATTTAAATACAGTACTGGTTAAAGTGTCAAACAGAATAAATACCTGAATACAAATAATTACTTCAGGTCTTTTGAAGGATGAACTAATAAATTATTTTATGAACACCATCTGAAACTAAAACATCTAAAAAGTTTGGGTTCTTATGATTTGTTTTCAGCTACCTGAATACTCTTGAAATTGTAACACATAAAAATCTGACAGCTAAAGAAGCCAATCATTTAATCACTTTTTCTTTTTTTCTCAAATCACTTTTACTTATAAAACTTGAATACCTCCAGATATTTTATCAAAATTATCACGTGCAAGCTCTAACTTATATTTAGCTTCTTTTCTCCAATGAACAAACTGGAATAGATTAAATATATTAATCCCCTTCAATTTTTCCAACTGGGAGGAAATGGTATTTGTCAAACTTAGTAAGAAAGCCATTGATATACCTAGGACTATTAACATTAGTTTTGTCCAGTTCTCTATACAAATAATCTACATTAACTAATTTACAAGAATAAAGACAGTCCCTTAAAATTAAAGTGAGTATAAAATTTAGTTTAAATCAACTGCAAAAGTGAAGGAAAACAATGTAGTAGCACATACCTGGTTTTATCAGAGATCCACTCTTCATTGATATCCTCATGCATCCTTGGCAAAATCCGCATCACCTCTCCAGTTCTTGTGCTTACCACAATATTACTTCCAACTGCATCCATTACATCAATGGATTCCGTCTTTCTGAGAAAATAAACACCTATGTTTCCCACATTTATTTTGGCAATAAGGACAAAGTTTCTGTTACCTGGTTTCTCAAAAACAAAAAATTTTACGATGACTTTCCTTTCTGAATTTCTAAAGTTAATGGGACCCAGAGAAACTGCAATAAAAAAAAAATATCCTCGTATTTGAATACGTCACATTAATTCCTACTGTAAAAATAAAGCTTTAATAATTGTTATCTAGGGGCGCCTGGGTGCCTCAGTCAGTTAAGAGTCTGACTCTTGATTTCAGCTCAGGTCATGATCTCATGGTTCGTGAGTTTGAGCTCTGTGTTGGGCTCCGCACTGACAAAATTTCTTAATCTGGCTGTCAGCATGAAGGCTGCTTGGGATTCTCCATCTCCCTCTCTCTGCCCCTCCCCCACTTGTGCTAGCATGCATGCGCGCTCTCTCTCTCTCTCACAAAAATAAACTTTAAAAGAACAAATAAATGAATAAATAAAAATAGGAACTGTTAAATAATACAAAAGCCAATGGTAAGGGCTCCAAATGGCCAAATCTGATTATCAAGATAAATAGCAAGAGAGTAAGATTTTTGGGTATGGCCAATTAAAAAGTCTGATAAATCCTCCCCACAAAAAGCAAAAATAAAGCTGGACAAAATTAACAAAAAACAACCAATTCAGCACTTTGGAAATCTTCCAAAGGCAAACACCATCATGAGAAGCTTTTATGTGTGGCAAAACTACTGAACTTCAAGCAAGAAGCATAGAAATCAGCGGTGATGTGTCTTGGGGCCTGTTCTCATCCCCTTCCTACCACCTGAACAGGAGGCTCTGCCAGGCTCAGGGAGGCTGTGGAGATGGAAGTTTCTTTTCTGCATGCATTATGGGAGTTTCAGGAAGCAAAAGAGAAAAACCTCTACTTGAACATTTCACCTATGTACTGTGCCCCATCCCCCCAATCTTTTTATATACATAAAATACATGGCTTAAAACACAGAATTTTGAGATACTCCCACATATTCTAGTGGAAGTCTAAATATGGGGGGCAATTTAATGATAGGCTTTAGAACCTTAAAAATACCCAAATTTGTTGCAACTACCTACTCCATTTCCCAGTTTAGTCAGAAGAATCAGAGATATACGTGAAAATTTATGAATAACAATTTTTATCATAGATTTACAACTATATAGAAACAAACTAGGGGCGCCTGGGTGGCTCAGTCGGTTAAGCGTCCGACTTCACCCGGGTCACGATCTCGCGGTCCGTGAGTTCGAGCCCCGCGTCAGGCTCTGGGCTGATGGCTCAGAGCCTGGGGCCTGCTTCTGATTCTGTGTCTCCCTCTTTCCCTGCCCTTCCACCATTCATGCTCTGTCTCTCTCTGTCTCAAAAATAAATAAACGTTAAAAAAAAAATTAAAAAAAAAAAAAGAAACAAACTAAAATGTCTAATAATAGGAACTGATTAAATAAAGGATAATATAGCCACACGTCTGAAAACAATATACAGTGAGAAGAGACTATAAATTTTAAAACATCAAGACAATTTTACTCTTTGGAAGAACAAGTGAATAAAATAATTATGTGGTTAAGTACTTTGGAATCAATCTCCAAGAAAACTATAATTAATTTGCCAGATCATCCTATCCTTTAATCTATCTACTTACTCTCCATTAAGAGGGTTTTACTTAAAGCAAATACATAAAACCTTAGCAGACCAAAACAATTAGAATACAGGAAGAAAATGAATCTTAAATTTTTTTGAATACTAGCCAATTAAAGGATAAAAAACAAATTGTCAAAAATTACAACACTGAATACCTTGTTTCCCAAGGGCGGGCAGTAAAAGCATAGGGCTTCGAAGTCAGGGCACCTACAGGGCAGATATCAATGATATTTCCAGACAGTTCAGACATGAACATCTTTTCAATGTACGTGCCAACTTGCATATCATTTCCTCTGCCTGTTGTTCCCAAATCATCTACTCCTGCAATCTCACTTGCAAACCTGCAGGATAAAAATATACCATCAAATGGTAAAATCCAGCAAAATTATCTCCTTTCCTATGATCACAGTGAGATAATGATTTTCAAAACACCAAAAAGACACGAGTTTATTTTCAATGGTGAGCAAAGTCCTTGAATAAAAAATTGTTCAATGCTTGCATGTAATTTAATCATAGCATAACACAAACTGCACGAATCATAGGTATAGCTCAGCAAGTTATCAAGGAGTTAATGCTTGTATATTTTTATTTGTAAATTCCACAGAAGTTGATATTCACTGAAAGTGAACGATTCATTTTATTGGCTTATGCAGAAAACATTAAAAACATCCCTCTTCTCCTACCAAAAAAAAAGTTGCCTTTTTTTTCTAGTATCGTTATTCCACCAAATTTTGTGACTATTAAGTATCTGAATGATATTGCAGAAGAGAGAAGGAAAAACATTACCTGATGCAGCGAGTACACTGTATACATCTAGTCATGATAGTCTTTACCAATGGCCCAATATTCTTGTCCTCCACAGCACGTTTCCCATCTAAAAATCTGCTCCTATCATTTCCAAACATCATGGACTGGTCCTTTAGTAGATTAGGAGAGAGTTAACATAATGCTGCTAATGAAATTAAAACCTGAGATAATCAAACAGATTTATGAAGTTTGACAACATACCTGCAGATCACATTCACCTCCCTGGTCACAAATAGGACAGTCCAGTGGGTGATTTGCTAACAAGAACTCCATCACACCTTCTCTGTACGAAAAGTTGTAGTACACAAAATGATATAAATTTTTGGCACTCAAAATGGCTATCTAACCTTCAGGGATGTACTTTTTCATATAGTATTAACTTTACATTTATTATCAAAATGCCAATGCAACCATCATTCTAGTATTAGACACACAGTCTAAAAAATGCTTATAGAAGTCCAGGAATAAAGTATCATTAAAGAATCTAGAAAATTATGACTTTTAAAAACACAAAATTACCCAAAGTCACTAAATAGTCTTCAGAAAACATTAATTCAAAACAAAACAGAGTGCCTAGATGGCTTAGTCAATCAGGCGTCCAACTTCGGTTTAGGTCATGATCTCGCAGTCTGTGGGCTCAAGCCCTGTGTTGGGCTGTGCTGACAGCTCAGAGCCTGGAGCCTGCTTCGGATTCTGTGTCTCCTTCTCTCTCTGCCCCTCCCCTGCTCACACTCTGTCTCTCTCAAAAATAAACATTAAAAAAAAATTAGGAAAAAACAAAACACCCACACAAATGCACAGCAAAAACAAATATAATCAATGCCTATATAGTAACAGTAATACTTTACTACAATAATCTCAGTTCAATAAGCCCCAGACTCACTATTCATCATAAGTTGAACAGGTTACTATATAAGAGATTCTTTTTCAAGTTTATTTATTTTGAGAGACAGCATGAGCAGGGGAGGGGCAGAGACAGACAGGGAGAATCCCAAGCAGGCTCTTGCGCTGCCAGTGCAGAGCCCAACACGGGGCTCAATCTCATGAACTGTGAGATAATGACCTGAGCTGAAACCAAAAGTCAGACACTTAACCGACAGAGCCACCCAGGTGCTCCTAAATAAAAGCTTTTTTTTCTTTCCCCTAAATAAGAGCTTTTAATGCTCAAAACCATAAACACCTGACTTCACCTCCTCAACATGTACTTAATTCCACTGCTCCTAGAAGTCAAACATACCAACTTTTTCAAAACTTGCTATTGAATTTCCCATCTATGGGAAGGTCTAAATACTGAAATGAACAATTTTCTTCTCTAAGAAAAGTTACTATGCTAAATAACATGAAAGTACCTTGCTTTCTTAGATTTCTCTGAGTTTGTCAGGATATTACAACCTTTCATTACTGGCATGGCACAAGCCGCCACAACCTGGAATTTCAATGGAAAAATGTCTAAGTATTTGTATTCGGTTGTAATTATAAGCAACCCAACATATAAAACATTCAGCTATACATTTGAAAATAAGCCCAGTATCTTTGAAGATTCATTTTTTTACTTTTCATAGTTACGATACGATAATCTGACACTTCACATTTCTCTATGAAAAAAAAATAAGATATTGTACTTCTAAATTCTATCCTCCTAGTCAATGCAACTCTATATAGAGACTCTGAAACAGAACATCAAATAACTGTGTTTTGATTAGCAGGTACTACTGAATTAAAACTTAGAAGACAAAATGAAATTAAACAGAAAGTGAACCTCTTCATTGTAATCCCTTTCTCTAGTGAAAATGGCCCGGCATGAGCCCTTCCAATGTACTGCCTGGCAATTCCACATCCTACTTGTCACACAGCCATTTGGAAATACTACTGCCAGCTGTAAGAAGTCACCTTTAATTTCTCAATCTGTTGTAATTATACAGTGCTTGCATTTATAAAGCACTTTCATCAATGCATTTCCAGTTTTGAAATGAACAGACTCAACTGCACAAAATAATAAATTTACAGATACAATTAAACAGGGCTAGGTTTCTCCACTACAACAATGATTCTAAGTAAAATTCGCTGCAAGATTAAAGTTTTCTACCTTCTACAGCATGGTGTGGAATTTTAGGTATCAAGTACCTTAGGAGCTTTCTCAATTTCAACAAGGCACATCCTACAGTTTCCAGCAACAGACAATCTTTCATGATAACAGAATCGAGGGATCTGCATGCCAACCTTCTCACAAGCCTAGAAGACAAAGGAAAAAATTCCTGCATTAGAACAATCTGACCTCATCCTTGCTTTGCCTAAAACAGAAAAAGAAAGGCTATACCACCTGCCTTATTACTCCTATCTATAAACATCTATACTTTTATTCATTCTTCATCCCTAAAGAGATTTCCCTCTTTCTTTGCTCTTGACTCCTGCTCCTGTCTGCTCTCAAGCCTGCTCTAAGGTCTCAGCATGCCTATGCCTTATGGAAGAAACTGAATAAATGAACCTCAGATTGTGCTGAAGGTCTGACTCATTTCCACTCTGAACCATTGTCCATAAAGACACCCCTTCAAACTCTGTCCCCATGGTTTCATACATGGACTTCCCATGTACTAGATGCAGTGGGTAGAGTAATAAGCAAGATCTTGTCCCAACCTTCATACTGGTTCACATTTCAAATGATTATACCCAAACCCTCATCTGGAGCCCTGACAGTTCACCACTTCTCCAAGTTTTAGACTTAAATAGTTCTGTGCATGGATACGCTCTATGGACAGCTAAAATTCAATCTATTTGTGTCCCCTATGATACATCTCCAAATAAGTTAACAAACCCAGAAACCACAAAAGTTTTTCCTGCTTTTCATTGTGCCTAAAGGCCTATCAACTCACTCTCACTGAATCTATTCTTTTATTTTCATTCCCATTGCCACTATCTATTTTAGGCCTTTAATTTTCAGTTCTACTAATGCAAGATACTCTTCCCTTGTGTCTCACACCAGTCTTGTTATTCTCCAAACTAACATCCTCTATGGTCACTGCGATACAGCTTAACTGCCATGAAAACTACTGATAGGTCAAACTATAAGCTCTTTAGTATGACATACATCTTCTTTCATTACTGAATCTGTTATAGTAATTTGATTTCTTGTTTTCTTATCTTCTATATATACCTTATGTTCTAACAATAGCAAACTATTTAAAGCTTCTTTGTCCAGGGGCGCCTGGGTGGCGCAGTCGGTTAAGCGTCCGACTTCAGCCAGGTCATGATCTCACGGTCCATGAGTTCGAGCCCTGCGTCAGGCTCTGGGCTGATGGCTCGGAGCCTGGACCCTGTTTCCAATTCTGTGTCTCCCTCTCTCTCTGCCCCTCCCCCGTTCATGCTCTGTCTCTCTCTGTCCCAAAAATAAATAAAAAACGTTGAAAGAAAAAATTAAAAAAAAAAAAAGCTTCTTTGTCCAAATATAAACACTTATCCTTTACAAATCTCCTCAGGGACCACCTGAGATATCCCTAACATCTCTTTCTATCACTTCCTATATACCTGGCAAAAATGCTCTCCACTGTATCTCAAGCATATACTGTTATGTATTTATTGTTTACAGGTCTATGCCTGGCAAATAGTCTAAAAATGACTGCTAAATGAATAAAGAGCATTTAGTTCTTGGTAACTTGCAGACAGAATGAAGTATCACTTCTTCAAGACCAATTTTGTTAGTTCTGAAGGAATCTGGAGGAATTATATATTTAATGCATGAATTCATTTACCTGCTTTGTAGGACACATTCTTAAAAAATATTACTAAAAATAGAGAAATCACATGAAATGAAAAGCATCAAGCAGGTTCACAACAAACAAAAATTATCTTTTCCCCAAACTTACCTAAATTAACTTGTAATTTATTTTTGGTAACTTCAAATTTTAAATGGGTATATACTCGGAAGGCAGAAGTGAAACAAAATAACTGCCATAATTCACTGAAGAAAGTCAGAAACAGATAAATGATAGCTCACTTTGAAAAGCCAACATTTTAAATCCAGTTTACTTTCATATAATTTTACTGTCTATAGTTCTTTTATGAGCATTTATCAAGGAATCTTAAAATTTTTTAAAGTAAATAAACAGTGTAACAGAAATAAATTGATACAAAAAAACCACAACATATACAAAAACAAAGACTTGGAACATATGCCTACTTGGAGTACGGTAGTTCCTGGTTCCACCATGACAGACTGACCGTCGACAAATACTTCAATTAAGTTGCTTGCTGCTGTGGCAGTTGTTCGAACTGACCATCAAAAATATTGAGATGAGAAATAAATTAAGAGTTGAATTTATTATAGCAGAGGATAATGGGTTAACTCTAACCTACAAGTCTAAAATTTTTCCTCATTTTACACTATTCCCCTCTATTTCTCTAGATGCAAACTTTTAGAATACTGAATTAGACAAAAACTTTTCCAAAACTGAATACCAAGGTAGAATATGGCTGCCCACTTTTAATGGTAGTTAATTTAAAATTTTTAATACCGTGGAAAACATGTTCATGGGAATACTACTTTTCAAAAGCAGGACTGCTTTTTCCATTTTGGGACTGATAGTTCCTACCACTTTTTATTCCATGACAACTTCTATAAACTGTTTAAAGTTATATTTTTAAAATTATTCAATTTGACTAGGGTCATTTGTTTCTATTTTATTTAAAACAAATTATGTTTAGGGTCTTTTAAGAAACATTCCATAAACCAATGAATTAACAAAGACAGTAAATGCAAAAATAGTACCCACAAATGCAAAAAAAAAATACTCACCACATCCTTTATGAGACTTAGACAGGCCTACTAAGGCCCTTTTTAGAGGTATCCTTAACATATTGCTAAGAATAAAACAAAGAAGAGTTATATTATCATAGGAAATAATAAAACTCTAATTACAAACTTTTGGGTAATGGTTCTTAAGTTTAATAGCACTTAACACACATTATTTCATTGAACATTCACAAGTCCTGATATTTTTTCCTCAAATTCTAGAGATGAGAATACTCAGTCTGAGAGAGAGTAACTAACTGACTTGTACAATGTCAAGGAGCTAAGAAGGAACAGCTAGTAATCAAATTTACGTAAAGGGCAGTTTTGTCGTTTTTAAAGTATAAACAATCAAATGTAAAACACTACTATGTAGTAATATAAATTTTAAGAATAAGTGAGCTTATCATTAATACTATGTAAATAAGACCTTCTGCCTTCATTTCGTACCAATACTCATTCTAACATTCCATGTTCTTTTTTTTTTTATTTTTTTTTTTTAATGTTTATTTATTTTTGAGACAAAGAGAGACAGAGCATGAACAGGGGAGGGTCAGAGAGAGAGGGAGACACGGAATCCCAAGCAGGCTCCAGGCTCCAAGTTGTCAGCACAGAGCCTGACGCAGGGCTCGAACTCACGGACCATGAGATCATGACCTGAGCCAAAGTCGGACGCCCAACCGACTAGGCCACCCAGGCATCCCTAACTTTCCATGTTCTAAGCAGTTATCTACTAAATGTTCCTGAGATTCTGAGCTGGCTCAGAAGTCCAAGCCTTTTAAGTATCTGGAGAGCTATTTTCTGGGCTTGGTACAATTATTTTACAGATTTGCAATTATAGGTCTGTTCTACCCTCATTGGATTAATGAACTTCTTGAATCTTTGTATCTTTGGTGCCTATTTCCAAGGCTGATACACAGTAAGCTCTAAAATAGTGGTTCTCAGGGTGCCTGGGTGGCTCAATCAGTTGGGCAACTGACTCTTGGGTTTTGGCTCAGGTCATGACCTCATGGTTTGTGGGTTTGAGACCTGCGTGGGGCTCTGTGCTGACAGGGTGGGGCTTGCTTGGGATTCTCTCTCCCTCTCTCTCTGCCCCTCCTCTGTTCGTGCTTTCTCTCTCACAAAATAAATAAACTTTAAAAAATAAATAAATAAAGGGGCGCCTGGGTGGCTCAGTCAGTTGAGAGTCTGACTTTGGCTCAGGTCACAATCTCACGGCTTGTGAGTTCGAGCCCTGCGTCAGGCTCTGTGCTGGCTCAGAGCCTGGAGCCTGCTTCATAGTCTGGGTCTCCCTCTCTCTCTGCTCCTCCCCCACTCACGCTGTCTCTGTCTCTCAAAAATGAATAAACGTTAAAAACAATTAAAAATAAATAAATAAATAAATAAATAAATAAATAAATAAATAAATAGGAGCGCCTTGGTGGTTCAGTCAGTTGAGCATCTGAGGCTTGATTTTGACTCAGGTCATGATCTCACCGTTTGAGATCGAGCCGGGCATCGGGCTCTGTGCTGACACCTCAGAGCCTGCTTGAGATTCCCTCTCCCTCTCTCTCTGCTCCTCCCCGACTCACACTCTTTCTCTCTCTCTGTCTTTCAAAATAAATAAAAATTTAAAAACAAATAAATAAAACAGTGGTTCTCAACCAGGTACAGTTTTGCTTCCCAGGGAACATTTGGCATCATCTGTACACACTGTTGTCACAGCTGGGGGGGGGGGGGGGGGCAGTTACTAGCATCTAGTGGGTAGAGGCCAGGGTACTACTAAACATCCTACAGTACACAGGACGGTATCCCGTAATAAATCTTTGTTGAATTACTGAAAGAAATAGGAATGAATTATATAAATAACACCAATTAAAGACATACGTAAGCAAACAGAATGTTAACCGAACTTTAGAGTTTTCATCCATTCATTGATCATAAGGGCTTGGAACTGAACTTTTTGTCTACTCACTTGATCAAATGGGCTAAGCATCTAAATTATAATTTTTCACTTGGAACTTCTAAAAATGGAAATTACGTGATCAGAATGTATCAATGTAGGGGCACCTGAGTGGCACAGTTGAGTGACAGACTCTTGATTTCCACTCAGGTCATGACCTCATGGCTCATGAGATCCAGCCCTGCCTGGGGCGCTACACTGACAGCATGGAGCCTGCTTGGGACTCTCTCTCACTCTCCCTCACCCCACGCACACACACCCTCTCTCTCAAAATAAACTTAAAAAAAAAAAAAAGTATCAACATAATGATTTTCAAAAGTAAAGAGAGTAGAAAACAGTATGTATATGTAAGTTTTAAGCATAAAGTTTCACATATCTATTATAGAAGAGGTATAACAAGCTTTCTAATTCAGACTTGTTAATTCATAAAATTCATTAATTCAGAACTTGTGATACTGAATTTGCAGACATGAAGGCTACCACATACCAATGAGTGATTTTTGATAAATCAGAGTTTCTGCCTAATGTACAGATCAGGAAGCAAACAATACTTCTTAGATCATGTGGTATTAGTAGGAGTTCAGTAAATGTCAATTAGAACTAAATTCAATGTAGACAGAAATAGCCACTGAAGATCAGTTTCAAAGTCCTCTTCCTTGGTACTCCCTCTCTGTACCATAGGCACACATTGTGTACATAACTTTATTATTCCACCTACTAAACTGTAGGTTAGTAATTGATTTTAGTACCTACTAAACTGTAAGCTCCTTGAAGAGGAATAGTGCAATTTGGTCATTTCCCTTTTCCGAAGACCTAGCCCTTGAAAAAATAACCATCAAATAATCTTATCAAGTTCCAAAATGAGTAAACTCTATCTTATTAAAATCTATTGCTATATAAAGGTAAATCTGAATTTGCTGAAGAGTAGTGACAGAATGAAAATCAATAATCAATATTTCACACAACATCAACACTTTCTTACTATTGTTGTCTCCATACAATATAAAAGTATTGCCCACTTTAGCTAGGAAATCAAGCAGAAATAGGTGGTCTCTTGAAAATCCAGCAGGGAATAGTGCATAGCCCCAACAAAAGACAGTTTCACAAAACTTTAATCTGTACTTTACATGTATTTATCTACCGCGTGGGAATGGAGATAATCGCCTCCAAATGGGAAAATGTTAATGACCAATCATTTCTAAAACTAGACTGGACAATTTTAGCATAGGAACAATACAATATATTCCCTACCATACAGCCTGCATCCACGCACTTCTCTCTCTCCAAGGTACCCCTCTATTGGAAGCCACCATCGTCTTGCCTGAACTATTATAAAAAGCCCCCCAACAGGTCTCCTGCTTTCTACACTGTTCCTACAGCCTCTCCCGTCTTCCCACAGACTGTGGCCTCGGACTTCAATGCATTCCTTCAGAGCTTTCTGGCCTCTCCCTGTCCTTCAAATTCGGGCTTAAAAGCCATTCTTCAGGGAGACTTTCCTTGATCAGCCTGTCCTAAATTTCCCAACTACTCCCTAGTCCCATCACCCATTTTATTCTTCGTGGACTCGGTTCTAGTTCATAGCAGACGTCCGAGAACTATTTGCTAAATGAATTCTATGTCTAATCTCTGGCCGAAACTTAACTTCCACTTCCCTGGAATTAAAAAGTGCAGGTGCTCTGACAGCCTTATAGCAAACACCCTGCTTAACGATGCACACGCGACTCGGTGGAAAGAAGAACATTCCGTAAAGAAACAACTTGAAGTTTATTCAGCAGACACGGTTCACGTTACATTTTCAACGCCCTCTATTCGTTCTCGAGCGGAGCTGGGGCGCGTCCACGGTCTCCCGGTACCCGCGTTAGATCCCAGGAACTTTTAAGCAACGAAGCTGTGTTATCCGCAATGCGACCTGGGGCAAAGCTTTTAAATATTTCCTACAGTTTCCCCACCAGGGAAAGGGATAAAAAATGTTCCCCAACGCACTCAATGGACAAAAGCAAAAACAACAAAAAAAACCCCGAGGAGTGGATGGAGGCTAAGGCAATAGCGGCCAAACGTACTGTACCAAGTACGTGTGAACTCGGTGGGGGGAATGTTCAATCCGCGGGCCTAAGTCAAGTACATAGATCCTCTCCCCGGGAACAAAACGGCCTCGGCTCCACAAAGGGGAATGACCTGCATTTCCCTTGCACAGTGAAGGTCACCCACAAGCCTGTCTCCGGGCCAGCGCTCCCAGGGCTTCCTACTCCTCCACCAGCTTTCTGCTCCGAAAGACCAGAGACCATGGCTAACAGCCCTCACCTGCCGGCTCTCGGGGGTGCCAGAGGCGGGGTGGGACGCGGCACCCAGTCAAGGACAAGAGTAGAATGAGTCACCTGGGCCAACGGAAACAGTCTCGTCAAGAAATCAACTCCTGTGGCAAGAGGCACCTCAGCCTTCTCACCCAAGCACGACCTCACCTTCCCCCTGGAGCCGCCGAAGCCGCTCTGCAGAACTGTCTGCACCGCACCAACCCCCTCAGAAAGACCGGCTTGCTGATTCAATATGGCGGCCTCGGCTAACCTCGCCCGCCGGGCCCGGAGAACGGGAAGCCAGGAGGGACTAGAAGCCCCAGATTCGACAATTTCCCCGCTCAGGTTGAGTTCGGCAATTTCCGTCAGCTGGCAAGGGGGCGGGGCGAAGGGCCAGTCGGTTGGAAGGGGCGGGAGCGGGGGCGGGGTGGGGGTGGTAGAGCTTGGAACCGCAGTTCCGCCGGAAGTAGTCAGGCTCCTGAGGCCGGGCGTTTTCGGTCATTTCCGGCACTTCAAGGGGCGGTTCCTGTAGTGTTCCGGGGCCGCGCGGTAATTATTTAAGAAACACCCTTTTGTATCAGTTTATTTCTAAACACAAAGGCCTGCGAATAACATGTGGGCCGTTCAAATCAGAGCCACCCAGTTTTACTTTGAGGATGTGGAGATTAACGTACTTTGACCTTTAACCTTCGGCCCCGTGCGGCAGAGGGAAACGCCTACGTCTCTATATAAGGCCTTTTCCGGCCTTCGGCGGCCCCTTTTCCCTTTTAGCGCTAGGCGCTCGTTCCCCGCGCTCGCGTTCTTCCCCCCGCTGCTGCCCCGTTCCGCGATCCG